ACAACAGGATAATAAGAAGAAATAATTTCTTAGTAGAAGAAGAAGACTTCACCAGTCCATATGAAGTAGCTAAGATCATCAGAAGACTTAAAGGAAACAGAGCACCAGGACAAGAAGGAATCCACAACATCACCCTCAAAGAACTGCCAAAGAAGGTTATAGTACAACTGTACTATATCTACAAATATTGCTTGGAAATGGGACATTTTCCAAGCAATTGGAAACATGCGAAGATAATTCCACTTCTGAAGCCCAGAAAAGACGGAAGAAGACCAGAAAGTTACAGGCCTATTTCACTATTAGAAACTTTAGGAAAAGTTCTGGAAAAAATCATCTTTAAAAGACTGGTGAAGCACACAGAAAGAAGAAGAATCATACAAGAAGACCAATTCGGATTCAGAAGAGGTAGAAATTGCGAACTTCAACTAGCAAGAATAATCAGCGACACGAAAATAAAATTCAACAGGAAGCAAAAAACAGGATTAGCCATACTGGACATCGAAAAAGCATACGACACGGTTTGGAAAAAGGCACTAATTTACAAGATGGACAAAGCAAGACTCCCACATTACTTAATTAATATTTGTGATAAATATTTATCTAATAGAACTTTTCAGGTTTCAGCTGACCGAAAGATGTCAACACTTCAAGAAATCCAGGAAGGAATGCCACAAGGCAGTATTTTATCTCCAATATTATACAATATTTTTGTTTCAGATCTCCCCGCAGATCCTCGAACTTCAACAGCCCTTTACGCGGATGACACTGCCGTATATGCATCCGGAAAAGATGAAAGAAGAATAATCAGGAACATGGAAAACCACCTAGGAAAAATATCGGAGTTCACAGAAAAATGGAAGATAAAAATCAACGCGGAGAAGACACAATTCATCGTTTTTTCACAGGACAGGAGACCACAAAACTACGAAATCACAGTAGGAGGAAACAGGATCCAAGGAACGGACTCAGTGAAGTATCTAGGAGTCCACCTTGACAGAAAACTCAACTTCGGGATGCATATACGGAAAACAAAGGTAAAAGCAAATGTTTCTAAAAAACTAATACTTCCTTATATTTTCAGGTCCAGCCCCCTAACGAAGGCCAAGAAAATCCAATTATACCAGGCCTACGTTAGATCGGTGATGTTATATGCTGTCCCAGTTTGGAGCTCCATAGCAGAGAGCCACTGGAAGAATCTGGAAGCTACAGAAACAGCGTGCTACCGTATAATCGACGGAGCACAATGGGATGAAAGAATAACGAATGCAACCATAAAAGAAAGGCTCCAGTACACACCACTGAGGGAGGTGGCCGAGAAAAGAACAAGAAACTTCTTCCAGGCCACAAGAAGACTCCATAAGACCAGGGACATCCTCGAGAATAACAGGGTCCAGAGGATGCATAGACAAACCCATAAACTGATCGACCACCTGATCAGGGTCTAGCCGTATGGTTGCTGAAAAACAGCATAGCAGGGAAGTAGGTACGATGCCTTAAAAAAGTACCTACAGAAAAAGACGAGGAAACCACCCAGAGAAGTCCAGGATGCCGAGAGGTTGAAAAAGAAGAAGAAGAAGATGGTGCATTAGCGGTACATCAGAAGAAAGAAGGCTAAAATGAATGAAATAAATGACATGTATATTTTATTAGGCAATAAACGTTTTTATTTTTTATTTTTATTTTTTTATTTTTTTATTTTTTATTTTTATTATCTTTCACGTTGAGAACACCTTTGAATAACTGTTCTGATGAGACCTATTAGGTCGAAATACGTATCAACAGATACAAAGGCGCTGTTTGCGTGAAATCAAATATTTGCTGTCTTTTTCACTTTTTTCGGATTTACTCTGTACGAGTACAAGAAACCAATTCGCTAAGGATTTCTGCTTAGTTGAAAAGATGTGTCGTGGAATGCAAATTTTAGATTCCCCACGTCTCTTTTAACACCTTTATCAACGTCTGTTTTGCTTTGCAATTTTTAGAAAGCACAGATAAAAGCAGAAATCTGAATTGTGTTTCGAAACTATTTTACGTTTGTTAAATTAGATGTCGCTAGTGCGTCCGTATTCGAAGCCATGTTATTGTTGCTTCTTAAAAAGACAGAAAATATTGATCTTTCACGTTGAGAACACCTTTGAATAACTGTTCTGATGAGACCTATTAGGTCGAAATACGTATCAACAGATACAAAGGCGCTGTTTGCGTGAAATCAAATATTTGCTGTCTTTTTCACAAAAAATATATGTTTTTGCCAACATTTTCGACATATTAGATATCTTTAATTTTTTCCAGAATGGTATTGTCAGCTAGATAATTTATTTGCTCTGTCAGTAGGGGCGAATACAGCACTTATGCACTAAAGCTGTGTTGGTATTAAAATTTAGATATCTTCCTGAGCCAAACATCTTTTGTAAACCAGTTAGTAGTTATCAGTCAGGTATTGTTGTTATACTGTTAACTTAAATCAAGAAAAGTTGGTGGTTTTATTCTAATTAAAAAATAAATTGAATGTTATTATGGAAATTGTTGAACATTTTAAGAGTATTGTCGATTTCATGATCTAGAATCGTCGACGAATCTAGATCGTCGACATATCTTGTGTAGAAATGTATGTTGACTTCAATTTAGAAATGACTGTTGTCTCTAATATTTCCAGTACTAAGTTTGCTATTGGTACTAAGATAGGCGAATCCATAGCCACTTCAGAAATCTGAGAGTAGTATTAATTTTCATGTTGGAAAAATGTTGAGCTAATATATAAATGAAATGAGGTTGAATGCTCGAATAAATGAACTTTTAAAATAAGGCTATTATCGAGCACAAGTTAATTAAATCTAGCCCAAGTACTTTCGCTTAAAATAGCATCTTCAGGGGCATTTCGTCAAAATAAGAACTATCCGGCAAGCGTAGAGTGTGGAAACATTAAAATAACTTTTTAACTATAATTTTAATGTTTCCACACTCTACGCTTGCCGGATAGTTCTTATTTTGACGAAATGCCCCTGAAGATGCTATTTTAAGCGAAAGTACTTGGGCTAGATTTAATTAACTTGTGCTCGATAATAGCCTTATTTTCAAAGTTAATATATAAATGTTGAGTTAGTATATAATAAATTTACATCGAAAGATTTGTTTGTAAATAATTTTCATCACCACCACCTTTTGCATACACCAAAATTTTTACACACCACCGATTATTGGATAAACGGACCAAAGAAAAACTGAAAAATGTTTTTAAATATGTAAGAAGCTACAGCTCATACCAACATTTATAAAAATTAAAGACAAATCCTACATTTCAAAACAAAAATATATACAGGTTAATTACAATCTTTTATGTTAACATTTTATTTACAATTAATACGACTAACACTTAGTGGTTGGTAGATGGCATAATCTTAAATCCATAGAAAAACAAATAGAAACCAACAAAAACCACATAATTAACAAATACGATAGTAATTTCACACAAGCATTTTTGATAAAGAGATATTAACGTATGAAGATATTTTTGATAAAATTAAAAACCATAATCAAAATAAAATTAATCAGCTATTAAATAGCTATTAGAAAAACAAAATTAATTAAAAATAAATTTAAATACAGAAAACGGTTAGCTAATGAACTTAAAAGCAACATACCTCCAACTGTAGAATATTTTTGAAGTTTCGTCAACTTTTCTTTACCTTTACAAAAATTTCCTACATTTAATATTATTGCTGGTATCGCAAATGGTCTAATATTCATGAATAACTCAAATATAAACGAAATTAGAAGCAACGCAGCCAATGTAATCACAAATTATAATCAAACCATACAAAAAAATGCAACCCTATTAATTTTAACAGCAGATAAATGTAACAAAACTAATAATGTTAAAATCTGAATATTTAAACACCTTAAATTATTTTTGATGAAACTAATAATGAAACAGTATACAAGAAAGATAAATAAAATCTTACAAATAAGATCTAAACTTGTTTAAATTTTCTCGTTAACATATGCTATACTAAAAAATATATAGACTGAAACTTAAAAAATAAATTAGTATCTCACAATGGTACATCCTAATATATTTATGGGCTTCCAAAAGTAAATAAAAACAGCATTTCGCTTCGGTCAATTATTAGTAACAAAACCCCCAATTATATACAGGATTCATGGGATTTTCGCAATTTTATTAATCACAAACTTATATCTTAAAGCTTTAAAGTATATCAAAACCAGATTGATAATTGAAACATTCAAACACGTATTTCTCTTACACTTAAATAATTCAGAAGTTTCATGGTACAATAGTACAACATACATTTTTACAAACGATATATCAATGACTGCTTATTCTGCATTCGAGATCATAAAATCAAGTATACTTTTCAAAATTTTCAATAATTCCCATAATAACATTTAATTTACTTATAAATTAGAAGAAAACAACATTACTTTTCTTGATTTAAGTTTAGAGTGTAACAACAAGAACTGACTGATAACTACTAACTGATTTATAAAAGATGTTCGGTACTTACTTTATCGTGTCCGGACATGTCATTCATAAAATTTCGGCCCAGTATGCTACGTCGGTTCCATCTTTGTTGGCGAGCCACAAATCTTGGAGGGTACATCGATGAGGACAGTTTCTGCATGTAAGAAGATGTTCCATATTATGTGTATCTCCACAGTCACAGTTCACATCATCTTGGTCGATTTTTCCCCATTTTGCCATGTTTGATTTTAAAGTCTAGGGACTGGCCGGTCCATTAAACCTGGGGAAGAGGAAAATACTCAGGCGGTTCATCCTGCACTGTTCCAAAGAAGCTTTTCCTAGATTTTAAGCTCTAATTTCTATAAATACTGATAGATGCAATCCCAACTTGATTTACTGTAGATGTAAATTTTATTTGCAAAAGTATGTTTGCCATTTCCCTCTATTATCTATTTTTATGATTAATAAACATTCGAAGGGTATTATGAAATTTTTTAAGTCGCTATTTATTTTTTAGGAATGAATGTCATGACACTTGTCCCATTTGCAGGGAAAGGTTAGACAGTACAGATGATACTTGGGTTCTATCAGATGTACCGAAAGCAGAAGAAATCAGTAAAGAAATACGTGAAAACCTTTTAGATCTGGCTAATAAAGACAGAGCATCAGCTTGCACTCCGTTTTAACAATATACATTTTTTGTTTACACATTGGAGAAAAGTGGACTTAGTATCACAGTTTAGTGAAAAGTATTTGATTATATGAGATATATTTTAATAAGTACAAAGTTACAGTTGTTAGCACTTACATATTGGTTGACTGGTTGCTGCGTACACAGCTTTTTGAAACAAACAAGTGTTATGTGAGACTCATATAGTAATAATTGCAATGGATACGAGAATTGCTCTGTAAATTTTTATCTAAAAGAAAAAGTACAATTTTTTATTAAAATAACTTATTGATTTTCATAGTAATAACTTAATTGAAATCACAATTCGTTCAAAACATGTTTGCCAGGAAATACATTACCAAAAATAAATCATTTGGTGCAAAATATAGAAGATTACCAACTGTAGCACAGGTCAGTTTAATCTAAGTCATTTTTCTTTTTTACTGCTCTAATGTCCACCTGACAGCGATTAACATGGGAAAACCCTCTCCGTCTTAAGTTGTTCTAAACAGTTGTTTGCTCTCCGTAGTCCAGTCCATTTCTGATATTTTTTTAACCAAGAGACTTATGGAGATTATTAAATCAACTTCCCCTTAGTATGTGTCGAAGTAATGCTATTTTTCTAAATTTGACGCTATCAATCAACTCATGTGAATCAGTGTGTTGTGATAGGAACTGCTTCATTTGTTTACATAGCCGTCCACAATATTTGGAGTGTTGTTCTCTATAATATTGAATATTTTCGAGGTCCATTCTTCTACACCATATAAGAGACCTTACCATACATAATTTTTGATTATGTGTTTCCGAAGTTGAATTTGCAAGTGATCGTTTGAGAAAAGTGACCTAATTTTTAAAAGTCTTATACGAGCTACCTACCTAATCTAACCCTGGTCCTACCAAAGATTCCAGTGCTGTGTAAATATATACTAGCATAAAACATTATATTACCTAAATTCTAAAATGTATCACTTTTACCTACACCTTTAAATTCACAAGAAACATATTTAGATCAGTAATGCATCTTAATATGTGTCTAAAAGCATAAAGAGGGTAATCCCCAAAATGTGGTGTACACAGAGGTACTTTTAGGTGATTCATAGACCTCACAGCAGACGAAACTAAATATCACAATGCTTAGAATTATGAATCATGTGAAACGTGAATCACGTTTATCTTTTATATACAGGGTTGACTATTGAGACCTTGATACTTAGCAATTATCATTGGATTTTGTGAAAATACTAAAAAAAGTCGAATTTTTCTCCAAAGGTGATATTTTTTAACGATATCGATATCTGCCATTTATCAACCCTTTCCATTCTAATATCACACTTGGTGCAATACTATTAGACTATTATTTCGCTGGAAAATTTAGGCATCCATATTTTTTTATATATTAAATCAGTTTTTTAAGTGTTACACCTCCTAAAAACTTAACGCCCATGTTTTTCTAGTGTCAATTTAAGTTTTTCCCAACACATAAAACAATAATTAACATTAAAATGAAATTTGCAACTTTAATACGAAACTTTATTAAATGTTACGTAAATAAAATGAACTAAATTTTAAATTAATAAATTAATAATTTAAGACAGTTTACTTTACGATGAATATTTTGAAGCATTTCAGGAGGTACTAGACTACATTCATGCACTATTCGTTGTCTTAATTCTTCCAATGAAGAATATTATCTTATATTTCTTGTTTTTTAATTAGACCGATAGGAAAAAGTCCAGGGGTTTAAATCGGGGGATCTTGTTGGTCATTCAATAAAACCTCTTCCTTTAATTCATTGTCTAGGAAACCTTTCATAATCAAGGTATCGCATTACGTTTATGTTACAATGCGGAGGTGCACCGCCTTATTGGAAAAACAAAACAGTGAGTACCTGTTTTCATTTTTTATTATAGCTGTTAAAATGGAATCAACTGTGTCCTCTAATTAGATATGCTTCTTCAAATTTTGTTGCAAAAAGAATTGCCCAATAATACGATCCACGTAAATTACTGCCCATACGTTTAATTTCAATGGGTGTTGGGTATTTCCTGTAAAACAATATGATTTTCATTAGCCCAATAACGGCAATTGTGTCGATTTACAGTACTATTTAGAAAAAATAACATTCATCCTAAAATCAAATATTAAATAAAAGTTTTGATTAATATATATTTATTTTCTGTCATCTCACAAAACTGTCGACTTTATCATGGCCTTGTACCAAGTGTATTTTGTAGGGATTAAATTTGTTATGGTTTAGTTCTTTGTGGACGAAAACACAGTTAACAGTGCGCGAAACACCAGATTCTTGAATTATTTTTTAGTACTTGAAGTACTTCCAAATTAACATTTCCTAAAATTGCTACTTCTGCCGCTTCAGTCCTAATGTATTTTTCACATTTCCTACTGATCCCGTTTCATGAATTTTTTAACTAGTTTTCATACGGGTGATTATTGCTTATCTTAATGAAGTTGATTAAATAATTTCGCTGTTCTTGCATATTTTTCATTTTCAAAAAATATGGAATTAATTTCAACGCATTCTACAAGAGAATAGACCATTTCAAACGAATATTACGCATTCCACAAGAGAATAGACTATTTCGAAGGAATTTAAAAAATACTTATTTAATATCGCTGTTAAACGCTACCAACAATAGTTCAAATAAGTTTTTGCAAATTCCTTTTAATGTACGTTTTGACGTGAAGGAAAAAAATTTCCATTAACACTACCAAAACACAGCGTTACATTTAGTTGTTAAGAGGTGTAACACTTTTAATTAATAAATTGATATTTTTCACAAGAACAGAGTTAATATGAAAAGAAAAATCATTAATGCCTGAATTCTTCAGTGAAATACCTGTCTAAGGATGTGCTCTATCCCAAGCGTTTTATCCCTATTTGAAATTAAGAATTTGTGGTACTGGAAGGTAGGGGGTTGACAAATGACAGAAGTCTGTATCAACCTCTTTGGAATAAAAATCGACCTGTTCAGCATTTTCAAAAAATACATTGGATATTTTCAAATATCAGGTTGCTCCCTTTTGAGTGAACAACCTATTGGCCATAATATTATGCCATTTGGTATTAAATTGTTCTGTTGCCAACAATAAATAATTTACACAGTGTCTGTGTTTTGGAAATCAAAATAGCCTTTGAAGGACCAGGGTTTAAAAATCCGTTGTTCCAGAATTCGCTCGGTTGAATAACAATTTGTAAATAAGTTGACAAAGACAGGCTTCAGTTTACAAAGCAACAGCATTGATCCGTAAGAGGATTGCTGTAACATACTTATGGAATCTCTACACTACATGGTAATATAGTAAGAGATCATATGATTTTATCTTGCGGAATCGGTACCGCCCTATTCTTCTGTGACGAGCTATGACGAGCCGCATGACAAAATCATATCGCAAATCGCACAGTGTAAACATCTAAATTTCATTCCATAACCAAATAATATAATAAATCAAGTCGACTTTAGCCTGTCTACTAAAGAAAACTGCAAGAATATATTTGTTTCATTATCTTGCAACTGTCCCAAATTCCGTAGGGCAAATTAAAAGAAGATTGGTGATTAGTATTGTGATTTTTACTTGTATTCCCATTGCTTTATAAGCTCTATTAGTTAAAATTTGCAGAACAATTAGTGTATATTGTCATGCATACTGTCAAACTTCTGAGCAAACACCACAGTGTGTTTAAATTGTTTACTTAAATTGACTGGTCGCTGATTAATCGTGGTGGTAAATAGTTGATCGATAGGGTGAAGAAATAACTTATTTCATGAAATCTCTTCACACGTTCTTAACTGTGCTCTTATGGCAACATATGAAAAAAAAAAACTAAAAATATAAAATTGTAACGACTTGTCCTAGGGCTGACAGGGTTGCCGTCTAGGAAAATTAAAACTTAGGGCTAGTAAATTACATATACATAGAATAAGATATTTTGAAACAATTTTAAACGAACTCCCCGTTGAAGGGTACCTTCAAATTAGATAATAAATTTAAATAAATTCTTATGTATCAATATTATCACTAACACTTTCTTGCTGCATTGGCAACGGACACATATGACGAACAGAAGTTTTTGACATACAATTTTTTTTTACCTCTGGTTGTTGATAACTACGAATTTACACTAAAGTTCCATTCTTTAAATGAGACGAAATTTCTTTACATTTGTATTGATGTTACAGTTGCGAAACGTATTGTAGTATCGTTTTGTAGTTGGAGAGCCTGCCTATTGGAATTGCGCTTAAGTCAGTGTCGGGAATGATTGTAATAGGATGGCCAATCGGGAAATGGGAAGGAGTAATTGGTGTTGGGTCAGTTGGGTCATTAGAGAGAATATGAGAGATATTTTAAAATTCAGAATGTCTTTGTTACCATTACATTGTACATCTAAGGTGTCACAGCTTTAGTGTTCACCAAAATTTAAAATTTCACTCGGAATATCGCAGCATGGATTATTCATGAGAAAACTCTGATTATTTGTAACCCATTTTCTAAGTATGAATTGTGCTGATTTTAATATGTCTGAAATATCTTTACATCGGGCTTGTAATTCTGAAAGGTCATTAGAACCCGTTACTAGGTCTTCAACATAGAAATTATTAAAAAATTTCTGTGAAGCTGACGGTAATGTATCGCAGTGATCAATTGTTAATTGATTTATGCATTTTCTTGCTAAGTAAGATAGATAGATAAGTGTTTAATTGATAAATTGTAAATTCATTTGCTGGGTTGTCTCTCCACAGGATCTGTTGAAGGGTTTGTATGCATCATGTATAAGGATCTGCCTATACATTTTCTAACGTCAGCAGACATAATTTATTTGTATAGTCGGAACCTAATTAAAATATCAAAAATGTTGTTTTGCACTTTTGGTCCAACATATTGTAACTCATTGAGATACCATTCAGAACTACTTGGACTTGATCCATCGAAGACCACTCTAAGTTGAGTAGTCAGACTACTAGGCTTGTATATGCCATGGTGGGGAAAGACATAAGTTGGTTCAGTGACCATGTCACTTTCACCTGCAGTTTATCAACAAAATACATCGCCATCAATTAAAACAATAAAACAAAGGTTTAAATGTTTATTTTTTAAATTTTATAATCGTTTATAGGGTAGTGTTTATAAATGGAAAGTTTTTAATCGAAATTAGAAATCGATATAATTAGCGACTCTTCTTACAATAGCACCGACCTTATAATAGTAACAAGGTAATAAAAACATGTTAGGAGTATGGAGAAGACAATACAACTTCGAACTTTATAGAATATACCAGGAACGAGATATCGTAAAACACATTAAGATAGGACTTCTGAGAGTTCTGAGGTGGATATAGCATGTAATGCGGATGGAACAAAATGTCCCAGCTGGAAAAACGCTCTTCGATGGTTAGGGACGACTGGAGAGAATTTCTTGAAAAGGCTAGGATCCACGCAGAGTTGTAAAGCCAGAATGATGATATGATTTAAAAAAAGACTCGCGCAATTTTAACTCGCTGCCCCCTCTCCCTATCCCCAAAAACGTAATTTTTTTGTTGTTTTTTTTTCGGTGGGTTTCAAAATTCCCACGCATAGTTGAGGTTTTTACAAAACTTGTCTATTTTTTATATCCATATTGGTTGAGTGTACATAACCTAAAAATTCATTTTTTTTTAATGCGTATAACTTTGTTTTGGAGATGGCTGCAGGATAAATTTTCTGGTATTTTCCCGGTTTAAAACCCCGAAACACTATTTTAGAGGTTTTTGGGGATTTTCCCCATTATATAGACTTCAAAATAAATAAAATCAAGGTTTTTTATAGGTTATATGGATGGTGTTATGCAAAAAAAAGAGTCAACCCACACAAGTCTGATTTTAAAATAAATAGCTTTAAAGTCTATAATCTCTTAATTAAAAATTTTAATATTATTTAAGTGTTTCAAATAGTTTTAATCATCTTTGTTAAAGTCCACATTTTCTACTCCAAAATCATCATTAAAGTCCAGCTATTCTTAAGAAATTAGAAAATGGTTTTAGATCTTATGGTACTAACTTTAATATTTCTTTGAGATCTTTAATTTTTTCTTTGAATAGTGGTTTACCTGTTGGCCATATACTCTGATCCAACTCTACACCTTTGCACGATTTCTGCAGTCGACCTTTTTTCTACATCTATTATCTGTACGTTTTCTTCTGTTATGTCTGGATTTATGTAGAGCAAGAAGAACTCACTCTTTAAAACTTTGATTTCATGAGTCTTGAGCCAATTTACTTTCTCTTTCTCTGAGTCAACTTTTATGTCTATGATACATTCCAATAGTTTGTCAATTAACACAATTTCTCTACTTTCTATTTTGGTAACCACAAATTTGTTTTTTCCTCCAATCTTTCATAACGCTGTCTTATTTTTTAATTACATAGAACGTAAACAAATGAAAAACATTGAATTCTATGAGTGAGAGAATTTTGTCTATCTTAAGGAGGGGTACCTAATTAATAAAAAAATGTTTGTTTAACCCTTTTTAAGTAAAAATTTGACACCCAATATTTTTTTACGTGTATTGTGGATAAAGATGAGTCAGGCCATACCAACATATTTGGATCATTAGTAATCATGGTATAATATGGGTACACTTTTGTCTTTTTAAAACAGCATGTGTACTTTATTTAAATGAATAATAATAATAATAAAGACGCATACGTATGCTCTCGGAAGTTTGACTGTAAATATGCTTGTGAGGGTGTTTGGCATATAAGAGGCCAGGTGTTACTTGTAAATAATATTGAAATTAAATTTCATATTTTTTTAAGAAGGACGTGGCTTAAATAAACTTGTTTAAATATAACAATAGTTTTTTGAGAACATTATTGTATCAAATTTGAACAATTTTTTACATTTGGATTATGAATTCGTTTTAAAAAAAATGTTATATTGGTTATTCATTATCACTTCTATCCATCATTATCGATGACTTGGATGATACCAGAAGGTTTAAAAATCATGTTTTGAATCTTCTATTGGCCTCAGAACTTCAAAACGATTCAAAGTTTAATAAAACGCCAACTTAAGCTAAATATAGTTTTATTTGCTTCAATTCGATAGCATTTCAAATAAAAAATGTCTTACAAGCTTTTAAATGTTATAAAATTTTTATCTGGAAAGTTTATAAGCTCGCATGATATCACCATTAGTAGCTTCTTGGAAAAGATTAGAAATATGTTATAGTACAAACTGTCAATTGCGAAATACTCGTATAGGAAGGACGTCTAAGTTTTTACAAAACAAAGGAGGGAAAAATATGTTTCAGAAGAAAGTATAATACTACTTTTTAAACTATTTTGCTTCATGTTTTTACATATTTAAAATACATACTACAGTAACAAAAAAATTCAGCAGTATAGGCCCCGATCTGGAAATTTTTCATTATGACGTTTCATCTGCAACCGAGAAATTATGAAAGGTTACAAAATTGCAACTATAACCTTCAAGTATCCCAAATGTTGTATTGGTTGGTCCAAACTGGTATTAGAATTTTTGACTGGTCTGTATAGAAATTCTATTTATTTCGTAGTATTGAGATCCATATTATGTTTAGGGACAGACCCCCTTATTTACAACTATAGTTGGTTAAGTACTTTGTTTTCGATAGCCGAGCTGAATATATGTGGGTAGTAGTTTGTTATTCTTGTAATCACCTTTGTTTATTTGTTTCATTAATTTGCTCTTTCTCTTGCATGATAGTGTATTCTGCAACAGTTGATGTTTCGCAGTGACAAAGGCAGTTCCAACTTGCATACATTAAACCACAGCTAAAGAGAATGCGATAAATTGTTGGAGAGGATAATGGAGTAGCACGGTTTGTTAAGTTTTTTATGATCCCTCTCTTTTGTTTAGGTTAGTGGTTTCGGTTGCTGTTCAAGGACGGTCAGTGTGCGTAGTTTTTCATTAGACTCTCCAAATGTAATTAATTTGTTCTCTATTTTAACCAAAACGAGAAAATTGGAATATCTCGGACATATTGCACGTGGTGAGAGATACAACTTACTCCAACTGATTGTGCAATGAAATAGAAGCATTCGTCGAGAAGATGCCTCTTGAAAGAGAAGATTCCAATCTAAACTGGATTTTATACTTTACGGATTTTATCAATTTAAAAAAAATCGTAGTTTCATTTTTCCTATTACCCCAGATCACAAAAGTGTCATCCATATAACGGAAACAACACAATGGGTATTTATCTACTAATTATATAGCTTTTTATTCGTTTTTTTTTTTAATGAAAAAGTTTGCAATAACTTGAATCAACGGACTTCTCATTGCCACCCCATCAGTCTACTCCCACTGAGAATGTGTTGTGATAAGGCAGTGACAAAAGTGGTTTGTGGTGCGTTTTGAGAACTGCTTATTAATGTATAGAGTCTCACTCACTGATACCTCAATAAATGGTGAAACTATGTCAAAACTAGTATATCGGCCAGTTCTAGTGTGATTTCCTTTAACTTCTCGATAAAGAATTTAGAATCTGTGATATAGCAATTGTTTTGAATCAGAACCAGCTATTTCCCCATTTTCTCTCATTACTGGAGATATCAATACAATAATTTTATGCTGAATATCTTTGATGAAAGATTAATTATTAAATTGTCTAAAGTTATATATAGCATTTAAATCTTGCTTATTATCAATAAAATGTGTCATTTGTAAAAACTTAGAAGTAGCTTTTGTGTTTTTAATTCTGTATGAAATGTAATACTTTAAGTTTTAGAATATCTCGAATATTTTTTATTTGTATTAGAATTAAAATATTTATAAAGTATAGTTTTATTTATATTTTTAGCTTATTTTATATTTTTGAAATATACCTGGTAATTGATACGTAACCTTGTTAGAGTTGGTGCAAAACCTCATGAACCTTGAAAATACGCATGCCCTAAAAAAATGAATCCTAAAAACATTGACTACTTTAAGTTCATACTGAACTGATCGGCTGGGTTGGATCTGTACGTAGTGTAAAGTACAGCTCACAAACTGCAACATTGTATTTTCGAATTTTGCTTAGATATGATACCGACGGTTTAAGGTATAATTTTAATCAAATTAGTACGTAATTAAATACTAATATATATATATATATATATATATATATATATATATATATATATATATATATATATATATATAAATATATATATATATATATAAATATATATATATATATATATATATATATATATATATATATATATAAATTATAAAAATTTGTAATGAAATGTATTAATAAGTCAAGTTATTTTTAATATAGCTAACCCATTACTCTTTATATTAATGTTTTTAATTATAAATAAACACACACATTTTGATTATAAATAAATCTTTGAAGAACTGAATAAATTCTTACAGGGAAAACAAATAACAAATCCAAGTATGATAGAAAAAGAATAGGATTTTGATCTGAAATTAAGCAAAATGTATTTGCATTTATAGGTAATTGTTTTTGTAGTCGTCGCTATTAGGTAGTTCTGTTTCAAACTCTATATCGTCTTCTAAATTTATGAAATTCATGCACTTCATCCATAATGAATTCTCGGCCGAAATAATTTTTTTCAGATTTTTCAACATGCCCACAAGTATTTGACCATATATCTGGCGTCATTTTATTTAGTCAGGCGTTTGTCTTAAACATCTGCTAATTAAAAAAAAAGCGTTTCTTGTCGCTACTTCGGGTTAAATTCCGGATGGTGGTAAACGTAAAACCGAGTGGCCGTAGTCTGTTAGTAATTGGTCTGCTGCATACAGTTTTTAGATTTAACAGAAAGTATTTTTTTCTACACCTCTGGTTGTGTTTCACTTTCCTCGAAAAATTTATTCCTTTCTGTCAATAATTTTCTCATGGCGTCTTTTTTCGAAGTTGGTGTAGGATATTTTCCTACAATATTCTTCTTTACGTGCATTATCAGAGTTATCCGACATTGGTGATCACCATTGCGAAGGCTTCACGATCTTCTACCACATGGAATAATTGTCCTGCTTTTGATATCTGAATCTTTCTGCAGTTACATTATTGATATGAAGCGTTGTTTATTAGTACTGGAAGTTAACTTGAGAAGAAGTTTTTTTTTCAACCATTTCATATAATTCTGGTAATTCATGTCGTCATGATAATCAACAGTTTTTAGTCCGGATTTGAAAATGATACCAGTCTTGAAGAAATCTATTTTTACCCTTTAGATACAGGAGATTTTAAGCACAAATTTATCCATTATCACAACATTTTGGAACTGTGTGGAGACTATGTAAGTCTCATCACTATATAACGTATGGTCCTAAAGTTTTGGGAAAAATTTCACCTGATCTGATTGAAAAGCAAAATGCATTTAACAAAGAAGGTCATGGAATTGAAATGTTATCAGTTATTGACATTTAATAAACAAAGCAGAATATTTTGGTTTGAGCTCTGTAAAATGTCTTATAACATTGATATTCGTCGAGGTATTGATAATATGGTTGAGCGAATGTCGAAACGAGATATTGTTAATATTTATCGAGATCAAAACATAAGCAAATCGACAATTTATCGCACAATCTGAGAATGTGAAGAAGGGATACCATGTGTTAACTTGCGTACAAGTGGCCGACCGCCGATTTTGAACCATATAAGAGAGGCAAGACTGATTGAAGCAGCTAAGAACAAAATATTTTTCATCGTCCATCACGATCAACCCTCTTCATGATCAAATTGAAGAGCATGGGTCTCAATGAATCCCCTTGTATTATTCCGCTGCCTATTTCTATAGGTTTCGTAAGTTGTCCGTCTATTCTGACTTCCATTTTGTTGTTTTGGAAGATGTTTTTAATAGTTTTTATAATATTTAGGGGAACTTCTCTATTATACAGAAGATGGATTACATCTTTGAGTCTTACTCTGTCAAAAGCTTTCTTTAGGTCAATCAGACACAGAAATGCTGGTCTATTATACTCTAGAGATTTCTCATTAATTTGCTTTATAACGAATATTGCATCTGTACACGATCTTCCACTACGAAATCCCTGTTGTTCATTTGCTAAGCTTATCTTCTGATTTATTAGCACTTGTAAAATCTTAGTTGTAAGTTTTAGCGTAGTATTTAACAAAGTTTATACCTCTGTAGTTTTCTGGCCGTTTTTTATCTCCTTTTTTGAATAGTAGAATTAGTTCGCTCGTTCTTCATTCTTTCGGTATTTTATTGTGTTTTATAATTTTATTAATTAATGTTGTTAATTGTTCTGTCATTTCTGCTCCACAATATTTCAATAACTCGTTTGGTATCCCGTCTTTACCTGCTGCTTTTCTATTCTTCAGGTTTTCTTTAATTATTTTCCGAACTTCTTGTACATTTATATTAAGTTCTTCATTTGTGGTAATTTTTGGTATTTCTGGTTCTAGCGTCGTTTGTTCTTCCTCTGCATATAACTTTTTTAGGCAATCAATCCGTGTATCCTTTTCAATCCTTTTGTATGTGTTTTGGTTCTATTAGTGCTTTTACTTCCGTTCTTTGACCTCTTATGAAGCGCCATATTTCCATTTGCATTATGTGTTTCTCAAATGGATTAACCGATGACTTGGGGTTTGACTTGTAAATGCTTCTTTTGGGTCAACCAAATTTTAAAGTTAATGGAGCATTTTCACCTTCCCTTATCCTGTTTATTGTACTTTCTAAGAAACCAGTTGCTTCAACTACTCACTCCATAAGAGATAAATGAGTTGTGCAATATCCCAATTTTGTTCCCGATTTATAAATAAATAAATGTTGAAGATAATTTGCCTTTCTTGTCAATATCAGTTATATTTACGAAAAAAAATTACAAATATTAAAATTAACATAATTTACCTTAAATGTTTAGTATCTTGATAAAAAGACTTACAGAAGACTTAGCACAAAAACAATAAATACTTACTAGTTCGACTCTGTCTTGCGGTGAGAGAACATACTGCAAGCAATTAAATGTTTTCAGTAATAGATTTCATCGATTCGTTCGTAGATTGACGTCACCAAAGGAGTGTCAGGTTCATGAGATTTTGTAAATAGTCTACATATATGGTGTTTCTGGCAAATATGTACTTATATTCACTCCCATTTATAAACCGTTCTGAATCCGCTTATATCACGGATATTTCGTATTAATCACCGTTTTTACGTATAAAATAAATAAACATATAATTATTAGAAATGAGTATCTAATTATTTTATAAAATTATGCATTTCTATAGAACTGAAAATATCTTTAATCAGGTGAAAAACATATAAAATAAATAAATTAATAGAATTTCCACTGTGTTTACTTATGCATGATAATTTTCCATACACGGTTATTTATTCGTTAAAATGTGACAAACTTAAAGCTCAAAAATAAATACAAACTAGAAGATTCGTTGTCAGCCTTTAGATTGTCGTAAAGACCAAGAACCTTTTCTTATTTTATTCGTGTGCTAATCCTCTTTTTTGTTTCATCGTCGATCCAAAGGGCCAGTGCTTTTTCCGTTTATATAAAAGGTAAGACATCCGAAAATGACATTATTAATACAAAAAGTCCCACGATCTTTTCATAAAAATGCATAATAGATTCTGTTGAGCCGTGTCTTAACTAGGTCCCTTGTAAGCAAATTTTCGTCTCCCTGGTCTCCAAAATTTTGAATTATTGCGTTTTTTATTTCATCCCAACTTTCGCATCCATGTACAGATATAAATGCTTTGGCTCTACCTGTTAATTTACTGATAATACCATGAAGCAAACATTTGTTTTGTATATTAGCTGCATTAAGTCTGTCATAATAATGGTTTAGAAGTATTGTAGAAACTTTAATAAATCCGTGTAATTCATTTGGATTTTCGTCAAAATTTGGAAGAATACATAAATTTTTAACGTCAAATTGTGGAACTGCCAGTCAATAGTCAAATTATAAATACATCAATCTTAATCTACTTATTTTCTATCTATTAATCTCTATGTTACCCCCTCTGTCGCTCAGTGGTAAGAGCGCCTACCTTTGGACCTAAAGGTCGTGACCCGCCTCCACCTTACCTGGGTGGAGAAATTTTCGTTTATTAAAAATTAATAGATGAAAATAAAAAATAATTTCTATCCTTGTGCGATCGGTACTCACCGGAGGGACCGCAGACGTTCGGATACAATTAGCGTCTCTTAGCAAAGACAATGACGTCGACTTTGCTAAGTATCAAGACAATTACTCTACACACACACTACACTAGGTACCTGACTAAAAACTCACTGTACCATGCCAATGACCATTAGTTGTCGACGCATTAAACTCAATAAAAAAAAATCTCTATGTTTATTAATATATAGTATATATAAGTTATTCAATTTTGTCTTTAAATGAGTTTCTAAATCTGACTCTAAAGTCAATCTAAAGAGGAGATATTTTTAAATTATTTTAATCTTTCTGTTAATCTATTCAAATCTTTGTTTAATTTGTCTTCTAATCTAGCTCTGATTCAATCTAAGGACTCAGATTTAATAAAAATCGCTTACAGGATAAAGACGATGCCGATGTACATTCCTTTGCTCCTGAAGGCTTCTAACTTCTAATTCCCTCGGGTGAACTCTACACATGGTTTCCCTGGGGCTGGTTCTTGGAACAGTGGACAAATACTTAAAAGTAACGAGGATCTATAAAGACTCTTCCACTTCCGTACTGACTCTGCGCCAATTATGAATGTTCTTGGGAAAAATACTTTTTTAAAAACTGAACTCACAATTAAGTGAGAATTGGTCGAATTTTTGGTTGAAGAATCTACGTAATCGGTATCAATGCAAATCGATTGATTTGTT